TTAAAGTGTAACCAGTTATCGCCTCTACGTGACCTGTCTTCGAGATTAAGAGGATCTGGAGGTTTGGCTAGCGGTACTGTGGTGGTATAGATCGGTGCAGCAGCCGATGAACCAGAAGGTTGCTGACTAGCAGAGGTCGAGGTCATGACCAATATAAAATAAACTTCCACCAACAACAACAAAGCTCGTGAAAACGTGACTCACCTCCTGACACCAAGTTTTGTCCTTTATGACGCGAGAGAGCAAGATAGTGAGTCTGAGTCCAGTAAGCTTCTTTGAACACAAACTTTAATTACTTGAGAGGCAGGTTACCTTTAGAGCTAACGAAACAACAACAACGCGATAGCGACTCTCTTGTTATGAAATGTTTTTTTGTCGTGTAACCCGAGAACTGACACGTGAGTAGTCCGAAGTGATTACATAACCAGTCCAGAAAGTTACATAACAGTTGAGAGTTACATAAGAAAGAAAAAACAAACGTTGATGTCCGGAAGGTTTTTTTGCATATCATAACAACAAACACTAGTAAATCCATTTTTTCGTCCAGTGTGCTATGCGCGGAGTACTTCTTAACGTCAATACCAGCTGCCTCCAATACTTGCTTAATCCACCTAAAGATGGTATCTTTAGATACATGTTTGGATGGCTTGACATAGCTTAACAGTAAATTTGGGTGTTCCTTACACAACTGCTCTGGATCAATGATGGCAGCATTGATCCTAAATCGGACCATTGATCCTAAATCAATGGGTTCGAAATGTCTTCCAAGTTTAGTCTGATTCAGTTTTTCGTATATCGTTATTCTGTATCTGTCGTCCATTTCTTAAACGTAGCTGACATCCACCTTGTGAAGCTTAGATGATGCTTAAATATGTTATTTGCCGGCTGGGAGGTCCGTATGGTGAAAAACTGTGACCGAGGTCTTGAAAATGCTGCCCGAGGCCGTAGGCCGAGGGCAGCATTTTCAAGGCCGAGGTCACAGTTTTTCACCATACGGACCGACCCTTAGCCGGTAAATAAAACTTTTTTTTTTTAAACTTAACGAAATACATTCTGAAAGAACCCGAATGATTTAGGGCTATAAATACGGCAAGATCTTCCATAAACTGAACAATTTTTGAGCGAGTAAATGGTAGTTAAAGTAAAGGTGATACAAATTAAAGAGAGATGCTTCACTGAAATATTTTCACTTGTGTAAATAAAGGTGATTTAAAAGGCTTCCAAAAAAAGTTTGAAACATTATTTTTACAAGTATCTGTCACAATCTAACACCTGTCAATTAGAGAGCGCGTAAGAAAAATAAAGCGCAAGAAGATTTAAAAAAACAACGGAACTAGTTTGGCAAGGACTGTCGCGACAATGTTTTCTTCAAAAACAATCAATGATATAACGGAAAGTATTATTCGCTCTTATCGACGATTCATTCATGTACGAAGATTTACCTCTGTTCATTGAGTAAACGGCCAGGAAAGTAATTGTGAGTAGATTCAAATTTTTTATTTTGAAGTTGTGAGAGTTTGCTCGTTTGTTTGCTGCAACGGCGTATTTAAATCTGGTCTTTCTTCCACAAAAACTAAATTCGAACGGCACACTCCAACGAGACACAAGGGGATTTAATGCGGCCTTTTCTCAATAAATTCCTTCAGTTTCTGTTGTGCAATTTATGGTCCAAATGTCCAAATTGAACGGACTTTGAAAGGCTCACCGAGAGCGTATATTTATTGTCGAACTGAAATTAAAACTTCGCTCGCTCTTTCACTACGAACAAATTGTTAGAGAAAATTCAGACATTAAATGAATCAAAGTTCCATTATTCAGTTTACCTGTAACCAAATACCTCACGTTTTAACTTTCTGGGTACTTTTTGTGAATGATTAAAATCAATTGCAGACGGTTTTTAGGCCGCTTGTCAACCAACGTAATGACATTATTGCTTATACAAATTCATTCTGAAACCAATATTTTTTTTGTCAACTAAAGTGATTTGAGAGAGAGAAAAGAGAGGATTCATAAGTCGGCTTGAGGTAGTGACCGATGTGTTTGCTTAAAAATACTGCCCAGCGGGAAAAACGAGGTATATTTATGAAAAATGGCCACGAAAGTTGAGATGTACTCGGCGACTCACGAAAGCGTTACCGTGGCCCGTGGGCAAAGATAGGAAAATGCTAACCGGGTAAAGAACCAATCAGATTGCAGGATTCGTTACCGTGCCCTCTAAAAAAAAAATAAAATCAGTTATTTTACCTGATATTTTATTTTATCTTTTTTTAAAACAGATATGTACATTGTTGTTCCTATAATTGATCAATTTTCAAAAACAGTGACTCTTTCCTCATCAAAATTCGATGGCATCAAGCATCATTTATCAGGGCAAGATCAATGACTGCATCCAAATCCTCCTTGGTTTTTTTTTTTTTTTTTTTTTTTTTTTGCTCCTCCGCTACTATTGCACCGTCTACTAGTTTATTGAGAATTAATACTGTACTGACTGTAAGATCTGCTCCTTATGAAAAATATTATAGGTAATGTAATAAAGTAGTCGAGTCTTTAGGATTGTGATGTTCTTTTTGTCAGTTAGATTATGCCGTAACACAAAATAACTTCATTTGTTTTCACGTCAATCAATAAATCGTGGGAGCATTGACGCCGTATATCTTAGCTCACCACCGACCAAAAAATCACAGTTTTTTGCAAAGTTCCTTGAGAGGAACAGTCTCCATAGTAGCTTTCCCCAGGTAAAGCTTTCCTATCCGTCACTCACTCCTGACAACAGCTAGCACAAAGTAATACTTTTACAAAGTATTCTAGTATTCTAGAACATTCTGGAGGCTTACAACGCAACTATTTTGGTAATATTACATTACGAAACCAAATAAAATGTTCCAGAAACTTCCACGGTATGCAAGACAGCACGTCTAAGCATTCTAGAAATTTTTTGATAATTATCTTTACAGTTATATCATAAAACACAAGTTATTAACAAAGCCATAGAATGTACGCTAAACTGTTACTAGTTTCCCTGTCAGACGCCTGTCATGTGAATATTTCCCACTAGTATCTTAACGCCACGATTTAGTTTTAGCAATGCAGCATAGGAACTCTTTTACGGATCTTTTTGGTTGTAAGATAAGCTTCTTGCCTGTGTGCTGCTCGGTTATAAATGCTAACGTCTCTAATTTGAATTTATTTTATTTTATTTTTTTTTTTTTTTTTACCTTTCAGTTCAGGTTGCCATTTGAATTCCGCTCCCTGTAGAACAGGGCAGACAATTCTGAGTCAAAACATGGAGCAACAATTTTAACGCATAAAGCTGGTAAAAGCGTTTTTGATGAAATATTACTGCCAATTAAGCGCTATTTATATAATTCCTTTTCTTTGGATGATAATAAACGTTTAGGAATTTGATATCTTTAGAAATACAATGTTGAACCCGTTAGTAACGTTACGAAAAACATGTTTTTAACCAAAAGAATAACTACATTGCATCACAATCTTAAAATTAAACAGTCTTGCTATAGGTGCGTCTCTTGGTAAGTCACTTTCAAAGAGCAAACACGAAGTATATCGACCGACATTTTTGGCTTTTAAAACGTTCTGTTACGCAAAGGGCACCTGTACTGAGGTGGGCCAACATAGAGCGGTCGCTTATGGAAGGACGGAATCAGAAAATATAGACAAACCAATAGCGCTAAAATTGGTCATAGTCGTCTGCAAGGGGTGATCGCTAGTAACAATGAAATGAAAAATAAAGTCGATGGAAAAGTGGTGAGATAATTGACTAAGTCAGGGGTTTAACTGCGTTTCATTATCGTTACCAGCGATATATAATTAAAAAAAAATTGACCCCGAGTTTTCCAATATTATGAACTTCTCTTCGTTTTTTTTACCATAAGGATTTTTATCTGGCACAATTTGATTGAAGTGTTACATGGACGAGTTTTCTCTGAGGTGCTATCTTCACTTACCCTGCAGATTATTTCTCCATCCACCACAGCCGTGTGATCATTGACCATCGCACCAATTGCGACATTCAAATTTACTCTCAACCCAGACATAACAAAGAATCCAATGAAAATCACTCCAGACAAAACGTAACGCTTGGGAAGAGCATTAACAGCCATACCACGTTAGAAAAACATTAAGCAATCTTCAAAAAACGGGGACGCAAATATTAAAAAAAAGAGTAGAGGGAACCCTCCTCTCTCAAATTGGTAACAGAGTTAAGATTTACACGTCTTTATAGATCTTTTGGCCATAATTTATCTTAGCACTATCTTGGCACCAAAGGGAGTACACGGTTTCAGCAAATGTCTCATCTTTCTCCATGGTTATTTTGAAGTATAAGTTCATGTTAAAATGTAGCGCACACTTAAAATTATATTTTGAGGTAATTATTCATTGAAAGACGTGGTAAAGAAAAGAAAGATGACAGATCTTCAATTGAGTTATGTGTGAGGTACCAGAGAAAAGATGAAACACGAGTTGATTGGAGCAGGTCTCTTTTCATCGAGTTGACGGGAGATATTTTGCAAGGCTCCGCTGATGTTTATTTTAAGTGCGTCTGCAAGCCAGCGTCAGTAACGAAATAACTCGCTCCATTAGATAATCTAATAAAAATTTAAACGTTTAATTAAAACTAAGCTCATCATCAATATCTATAGAAGTCTCATTTGATGAAATAAGTAATGTTTTCACAATACGGATTAAAAGTGCCTTTCTCTCACTGAGGGAGCGACATACATTAAAGACAGAAAAAGTGCTTTATACACGTAGCTATATAACTATCAATAAAACTATTGCACAAACAATTTTTTAAGTTTATCACCACTAACAGCGTTGAAAGACTACTTTTAAACGCGCCATCTGCCAACAAAATGCCGCATTTACCGAACTTGTATATTATAATCATCACAAATTAAAAATAATTATATCTCTAAGCTTAACAGATATCTTCAGTTCTTAATTAGAAGCTACAGTTTGCTGTCGGCTAAAAAACGCAACTACTGCAAATGAAACCATGCTGGTCGAATTTTGATCTCGGTGTGCTTTAAAGAATAAGCTTGTCCTCGAAATGCCTCCGATGTAACACCTTGTGCGTTACCTCCACCTTTGTACAAACCATTTGGATTGGCGTTGTGGCAGGTATTATACCACCAGCCACCTTTATAGTCTAACGTACAGTTTCCGCTGTTTTCAACGTCGTTGTCTTTGTCTTTGGTTGTAAACCTCATGCTTCTAGGATATCAAAAGCATTTCGTGAGAAACTGAGAAAAGCGAGGAAGCAATGCTTCTGACAGCATATCATAGTCAGTAAAGTGCAACTGGCATAACATTTTGGGAAATATCCAAGGAGCACTTATTGTCAGCAGTGCACATAAAAAGATTCCCCTCTTAGAAAAGCTTGAGAAAATGGAACGGTAAGCAATTTACACATATTTTTTCTTTTGGTTAATAATGCAGCAAACAGGAATTTAATGTCATCTTGTTGAAAGGAGCAATCCTGGTTAGAAATAAAATGGAAGTTGAAATATCTGATCGGCGATGATGCACTTCAGTTTAGATTTCTCATATGTAGAAAAAAAAAGCTGATTAGCTTAAGTGTAGGAATCCTCGATCGACTACCAGCAATCCTCAACGAATTTCCAAATTCTCAGGCAGGAATTTTACCTTTATATTACCTGTCATTCTCAGAGCAAAGTACAAAAAGCTGCAATAAGACATACCTGAAAGGCTTAGTGTACGAAAGCAATGAGTCACCTGCGGTGCCTCGGTATCCATCGATTAGTACCCGACAATTATCGCTTTCGTCAGCCACAGCCAAAGTAATGTACTCGGCAAATCGTCGGTCGTCTTCAAAATCCTCCATATCAATTCGAAACACCATGCTGGCAGATGCAGTAAGACGGTGAAGATAATCGTTTCAGAGCCAAAACTCGCCTTTCAGATTTCCAAAGCCTTTTTTGTATGATTCCCAGTCGACATAAAAGTCTACGGAGCCATTCATGCGCCTTTGAAAGGTGGTCCATCCTCCGCCATCAGTTGTCATGTCACACAGCACTTGAAATGGTTCTTCTTCATTAGGGTAAACCCAATACACACCGTCAGTTGTGGAACCATTTTGATGATATTCAAGACAGTTCTTAGAGCAATCTATAAATTTAAAAAAAAGCGACAATAAAATTTTACGGCTGATGACGGCAGAAAATGTAATGAACTAGTAAGCTTGGCTTACTTTAAAACTTTGCGTTGACGGATTTCAGGTGAACCTGTTTTGTTTTAAGGGGGCGAGCTTGTGACGGGGCAAAACTTTCATACATCGATTGATGTACGGATAGGAAAACGCTGGAATCTTCATCAGCAGGATTTATGTCAAAAATAAAGCAAGGTTTTTCAGTGCAAAAATTATATCCTTAAAATAGTTTCAGTACTTTTTATCAAGGTCTAACTTTTTTGTTTTATCATGGCTCTACCGCGCTTCTTTCCCTGATGCAAACATCGGCAAATTTCCCACCAGGTTGCCGCAAGAATCTTCGATTCTTTAAAACTTTAACAACATGTGTTAGGTAGAGTAAGGTTAATGTATCCCAGTTAAAAAACATTTTAAAGAGATCCAGCTGCAAAGTTAACAGCTCTCATCTGGTTCTTAGATATTGCCAAAGCCGTATACAACGGCATGAAGAAGAAGTGTTAGACAGAGGTCCATGTGTAGTATTCATCGTCAGTAAGTTTATAATGAAGAAAAATGAATGTTTGTTTCATTTCTATCTGGTTTGGTAATTAGGGAGGCAGATGCAAGAAAATTGGTAGATTGAAAACAGTGTAAGTAGTGAGAAGGTTGGTTTTCTTTCTCGTACAAAGAGCCTAAATAATGCATAAAATCAGTTCTTCTACCTTATATTCTTTCAATTATTTTTAAACAGATTACATTGGTGTTCCCATAATTGATCAATTTTCAAAAACAGTTGCTCTCTCTGCATCAAAATTCGATTGAATCTTTCAGATCCTGCTCGGAATTACGAGTAATGCCGTATAAACCCGTTTAAATATGATCGATTACGATTCAATTCAACCTTAGAAGAAAGTTAAAGTCAATTTTTTGTACCGTCAGAAAGTTCATGACGAAGGTAGAACCGGGAAGAGGTTCCAAGTTTTGGAATAGTAGAGTGCACTGCCAATTGCAGAAAACTTTTAAGCCCGTTGCCAATTCAGGTTTGTTTGAATTTGCTACGGTTTTGTGTGTTTCCTGTATTTACCTGGAATATTTTCGCTTTTGAGTGCTAATTTCCCTCATGTGTACATGCCTCATGCAGTTTGCATTCCTTTAAATATGTATAAGTTATGTCTCTAAAAAATACGAACACCTTATTCGATGATGTAAAATTTAATACACGGGGATATTTTGCAAATTGCGCAGTATTCTTGCTAGCGCCGAAGGATTAACACTATCCACCGTTATTTAAATTTTCAGTATTTTGATTTTGGTTTGCGAAATACATCCATCGCATAAGGAGTACGCGAAAGACGAAAACAAAACGAAAGAAACCATCAAAATTGTACTTTGTGACCAACAAAAAAATCTGTCGCGTTAAATACTTCGTTTCTCTAAACGTCAAGCCTCGAAAAACTAGCGAAAAAATCAAATTTTGGATCGTTCTGTTCGGCCATTTTGTTATCCCTTATTTTTTGCCTAGTTCTTCAACTTAATACCCTGGAAAATTTCGCGTGCTCTCTACATACTAGTGGAATAATAACCAGACTACCGTTGTTTTTCGCGTTTATATGTATTTTTTTCTTACCTCTGATCAAGAAATCATTTATAATTAACCCCAAAGTTTTCACCAAGCCAACCAAAAAATGTTAGTTGGAAGGTTAAAAGAAGTTTTTTCAGCTTGGGTCATGAAATTAAGATCAGAATATCAGTTTTGCCGCACGAAGTGTTCGGGGAATTAATTGTTAGGAATTACTTGATTCGTGTCAATTGCACCTCTCGGTCAGGTTGATGTATGAGCGGCAAAGCCTTCACCATCCTCAATTCAAAACCGTTTATCGAGATTTGCTCGGATTATGGCTGCTAAAACACTGAAAAATCCGTATCGCTAACTGACAGTGACGTTCAAACTTTCCTTGAAGGGAAAGGAAACCAAACTTATACGCAAAGAAAAACCGAAAGTTACGAAATCAGTGGCTTTGCTAATGGCATTTCCCGCTGCTGAGAATGAAAATCGAGAACTGGAAGATTTGCCACTGCCCGATTTTGGCCGAGTACCTGAAAGATTTCCTCTGTTAGTAAGGACCAAGTCAATGACTGAGAATTTGTTTATTCAATTTAATCCCATTGTTTGTTTTTGTAGTTTTTCAACGCATATTTTTCATCTTGAGCCTTCGCGCCAACGCACTTTACGATTTTTATTCGGGGATTATCGATCCTTTTAATTTATTTTCACTCATTAAAAAAGTTGACTTTTCTTGTCAGTAAAGGGCTATTGTGTTTATATGACAGATTCCTGGCGAAGAAATTAAGTGTCAATCCTAAATAATTATAATCCTATACATTGCCCCAGTTTTATGAGACTTTATCCCTGGTGAAATATATAATCGTAAGTCGCTAACTATTTTTACATCGAAGCTTAAGACAATTTCTAAAAAATTATTTCTTTTTCAACTGTATCATTTAAATACTAGCACTAATTTCACTTTCGTTTACTACAATCGTTATCATTGTTGTCATTATTATTTTTAACTCACCAACACGAGGCCCTCTAATAACCTTAATACAATCAATGCGATAGAGTTCCAGCGCGTTGCCATGGGAGTTAACATAGTAAACAATAAGGCGATCATGACAGCAGCTCCGAACAGAAGAGCTCCACCCACTCGTAATGCTAACCATCCCCCTGGGATTTGGAACACCATGTAACCGTGATAAAATGCTCCTAGAATTACACCTAACGAAAACGAATGAAGCTATCATCTGTTGCGGCTTAATCAAACGACAGAAAGAAGATTAAAATCCCACAGAATCGACTACTTTATTTCACAACTTGTAATATTCTTAATAAGGAGCGAATCCTACAGTCAGTACAGTATTAATCCGTAATACACTTAGTTAAGCCCACTACAAGGCATATCTTAGCTTACCACCGACCAAAAAAAGCGTCCTGTAACCCGAGGGGCACCTGTACTGAGGTCGGCTCATGTGAAGTGGTCGCTTACGGAAGGATGGAATCATAAAGTAGAGACAAACCAATAGTGTTAAAATTATCCATGATCGGCTGCAAGCGGTGATCGCTAGCAACAATGAAATGAAAAATAAGTGGATGGAAAAGTGGTCAGATAATTAACTGAGTGTAAGGTTTCACTGCGCTTCACTTTCGTTAACCAACGATATATATCTTTTTAGAAATTTACCCCTTTCCAATATAATGAGCTTCTCTTGGTGTTTTTACTATAAGGATTTTTATCTGGCACAATTTGATTTAAGTGTTACATGGATGAGTTTTCTCTAAGCTGCTATCTTCACTTATCCGTGTGATTATTGACCATCGCACCAATAGCGACATTCAAATTTACTCTCAACCCAGACATAACAAAGAATCCAATAAATATCATTTCGGACAAAATGTAACGATTGGGGAGAGCATTAACAGCCATTTTACGTTAGATAAACATTAAGCAATCTTCGATAAACAGGGAAGCAAATATTAAAAAACAGTAGAAAGAATCCTCCGATCAGCGTCTTCTGGTAACTACTATATTAACTATTCTAGGCTTAATCATCATAAAAACTCTTTTTCTATCGTTAGGGCTAAAATTTGGAACAGTAAGAATCCTCCTATCTCGATTTGTTATTTCTGAAATAAAAAAGGCAGATCAATTTACTTTTTATCACCTTTTCCTCTTTTGTCAAATAATGTATGCAAAATCGAGATTTACGCATCTTTTTGCGATCTGTTGGCCAAACTAATTCAAACTTGAACTTGAAAATCACCATCTAAGGGAGTTCACGGTTTAAGCAAATGTCTCGTGGTCCAAAACATCTTTATCCATGGTTATTTTCTATAAGTTCATGTTGAAATGTAGAATTTTTAGGTAACTATTTATTGAAAGACGCAGTAAAGAAAAGAAAGTTGACAGGTCTTCAATTAAGTTATGTGTGACGTACCAGAGAAAAGATGAGACACGAGCCAATTACAGCAGGTCTCTTTTCATCGAGTTGACGGGAGATATTTTGCAAGGCTCTGCTGATGTTTATTTTAAGTGCGTCTTCAAGCCAGTGTCAGTAACGAAATAACTTCTCCATTAGACAATCTTTGAGACATAAAAACGTTTAATTAAAACTAAGCCCATTATCAATATCTATGAAAGTCTCCACTGACGAAATAAGTAACGTTTTTACAATACGAATTAAAAGTGCCTTTCTCTCACTGAGGGAGCGACATATATTCAAAGACAGAAAAAGTGCTTTATATACGTAGATAAATCAATGAAACTATTTCACAAACAAAATAAGAAGGTTTATCACCACTAGGAGCGTTGAAAGACTTCAGCTAAATGCCCATCTGCCAACAAAATATCTCATTAACCGAACTTGTATATTACAATCATCACAAACTAAATTAAGAATTATAACTCCACGCACAGCCAACATCTTTGATTCTAAATTAGAAGCTACAGTTTGCTGTTGGCTTAAAGACGCAACTACCTCAATTGAAATCATGCTAGTCGAATTTTGATCTCGGTGTGCTTTAAAGAATATCCTTGTCCTCGAAATGACAACCATGTAATACCTTGTGCGTAACCTCCGCCTTTGTACAAACCATTTGGATTGGCGTTATGGCAGCCATTATACCACCAGCCACCTTTATAGGCTAACGCACAGTTTTTTCCGTTATGAACGTCGTTATCTTTGTCTTTGGTTGTAAACCTCATGTTTCTAGGATATCAAAGGCATTTCCTAAGAAACTGAGAAAAAGTGAGAGAGCAATGCTTCTAACAGCATATCATAATCAATAAAGTGCAACTGGCACTGCATGGTGGGAAATATGTAAGGAGCACTAAATTTCAGCAGTGCACATAAAAAATTCCCCTATCAGGAAAGTTTGAGAAAATGGAACGGTAAGCAATGTACACATTTTTTTTTTGGTTAATGATGCAGCAAACAGGAATTTGATGTCATCTTGTTGAAAGGAGCAGTCCTGGTTAGAAATAAACTGGAAGTTGAAAAATCTGATCGGCGATGATGCACATCAGCTTAGATTAGTCATATGTAGAAAAAAAGGTGATCAGCTAAAGAGTAGGGGATCCTCGACTTCATGAAATCCTCAACGTATTTCCAAATTCTTGGGCAGGAGCTTTCAGAAATTATCCTTATATTACAAGTCATTCTCAGAGCAAAGTACAAAAAGCTGCTATGAGACTTACCTAATAGGCCTCGAGTACGAAAGCAATGAGTCGCCTGCGGTGCCTCGGTATCCATCGATTGTCACCCGATAATTGTGGCTTTCGTCGGCCACAGCGAAAGTCGTGTACTCGGCAAATCGTCGGTCGTTTTTGTAATCCTCCATATCAATTCGAAACACCATGTTAGCAGATGCAGTCAGACGGTGAAGATAATCGTTTCCGAGCCAAAACTCGCCCTCCAGATTTCCAAAGCCTCTTTTGTATGATTCCCAGTCGACATAAAAGTCCACGGAGCCATCCATGCGCCTTTGAAAGGTAGTCCAGCCTCCGTCATCAGTTGTCATGTCACACAGCACTTGAAATGGTTCTTCTTCATCAGGGTAAACCCAGTACACACCATCAGTTGTGGAACCATTTTGATAATAGTCAAGACAGTTTTTAGGGCAATCTAGAAATTGAAAAAAAAACGCGACAATGAAACGCTTTGACAATACCAAAAATTATATGTTCTATCTATCTCACACTCCTTAAATGTGTTTGTTGTGGACGTTAAATCTTTGATCTTCCGTAACCTTGCCGCATCTGGCACTAATCTACCCGTTTCATCTGTCTGAGGCATTTTCCGAGGGATTAGCATGTCCCTCTCTTAGAGTTGTTTTTTGTTTTTACTTGAACGGATCTCCACTTACCTCTAACACACTTACAAAAATGTGTGTTTGTGTTTGATTTGTAGTCAACAACACAAGTTTCATTCTCTTTGCAAGGATCATATTCCTCGCAGGTGCTCTAAAAATTAATGAAAGAAAATCAGTATACAAAGAGATTTCAACTGGATGATGGCAGACTTTTTCGTTTAAGTAGGCTCCATAGGGTTTTTTGACCTATCGACATCTGGGTGCGAATATAGCGCGAGCTTAAAGTGTCATTAAACATGGCGGCTCGATACGATCGCACAATTGTTATCTGAAAAGGTGTGTTAAAACAGTTAGACAGTATTTATGTGATGGAATCTAGGGTTTCCAGCAACTGCACCCGTAATATTCATGGGCCTTCTGCGCCTGAAAAAGAGGTCAACCGAAAAGAAGACACCCCGGGAAAGATTGCCAAAAGGCGACAGATCGCGACAGATTTGAAAATTTACGCATACTCAAATACAGATCTTAGCGAAGTTCCATTCAACAACATACCGTTTTACGACAAAGAAAATAGGGATCTTTCGAGCATGATTTAGCGCGTTTCCTTTAGTAGAATTTCCCTAAGATTTGCTGGACCGTTAAAATATTTGTGCCCTACCTAGTGCCTGTTGATTAAAATGAAATTATTTAGACCAAGTTTGAGATAGAGGAAGAAAGCACAAATTGCAAACAGCGAGGAACTGCCTTTGTAACCTCTATTTCATTTCGGCTTTTAAATGATCGGCAGTACAAATTTAAAAAATTGGGAAAATTTTGAGATATTTCACCGAAGCAAATTGAAGAAAATCAAAGGCAAAGCCAAATTATCACTGGCGAGCGCCTCCCTTCGTAGAGCCTCAGCTTATAAAATCATTCTATCTACTACAGCAACCTTTCTCATCGCCCTCTTGATGCCTTTTAGTGACCTAAAAAAGGGAAAACATAAAAGTTTTCTAGAAAAACAACATGCTGGCACGCACGCCAACATTAAGCAAAAACCCTATTGAGTCTCCTTAATAGCTAAAATCTTACTGCCTCTCGTCGGTCATGTATTAAACTTTAAAAGAAAGAAACTCATAACATAAACAGTTTTTGTTTTGAATAGTCCTAAAACGAAATCATTCCGCTTTATTTCTAGATTTATATCTATGTTGGCTTCTTCTGTGTTATTTCTTACTACATTTCATCAACCGTAAGTCTTTTAAAGGAAATTTATATTGGATTATTATTCATCTTAAGGTAGATTCATTTCACGAAAGGATGCCCTGGTGAGGAGATCTCGTTCCTTCTGTAGGCGAGAACCTCTGCGGTCTTCATAACAGGTGCGTCTCGGCACCGATAACTCTAGAAAGATATTGTATTCTTTGGAATCAGTTGACTCAATTGATACGTGAAAAAACTTGCTTAATATGACCTAGTTGTTTACAAAGGTTGATAAAATCTCGTAGATACAGAAAATATTTCAAAAGGCTAGAGTTTCAATTGTTTTATTGCGTTTTAATCATTTCAACTTCTCAAGCTTTCCGAGCCCAGCATGTGTCCTCAAGACCCAGTAATTACTTACTCACAATGCAAGGTAATCAGTACCAAAATCGTTGCATCATCTAAGAGTTCCTATTCAGTTATTCACGAAATAGAACGGTCCTAGTTTATAAAGAATGCATACTTATTAAATTCTTGAAACAACCAGACTGACTGTAATGAGAATCGCAGCATCCTGTTGGAGATGAATTCAGACGAAAAGAAAAGACACCTTAACGAACCGAGGACATTAGAGTTCATCAGTTTTGTTACCTGTATTCCTCTATATAATGCTCCATCCTCTTTTGTAAAATTCACCTGACTCGCAAATCGGTCCGAGCCACTTAGCTGACATCTACTTGTCTCCTTGTCATGGATGGGAAGGAAGTTGTATGACAAACATCGATCTTCAGAGACACATGCAAACTGACAAGATATTTCAGATGCTACTTCAAAGTCTCTGAGGACACTCCCGTTGAGTTTTCGATCGTTTATCGCCTTTGCGAAATTAGCAGACTTAAAATCTGGCTCAGAAAAACGATTTGAAGCTTCTGCGAGGCCCATAAGTGAAAACATCAATAGGGCCCTTAGGTACATGTTTCTTTTTTCCTGTGCTGACCTCGTCTGAGATCACACTCAATGATGAATCTAAACTAATCAAATTAGGCTAATTAAAACTACCCCGGTTCATAATTAATGACCTCCATCGAGGTGAGACAAAGAGGTGCCATTGCTACGTTTTTCGCGACATTTAATCATTAAATATGCATGTTTTACGTCCTTCAAAACATTAATCGTCATTTGCAGCCACACGATTGTTAATTTGGTTATTCTCTTGGCATCTAATCATACAACTGCAGGTGAGCTGCAATTTTAGCAATAGCAGAGAAGCCGAAAATGATTAGGTTAGGACGGGAATCGAAATGTTGCCTCTCGGATACTTGAGAGCCTTAGATCTGACTGACACTACGAGTTTTGGCCGGTAGTAGAGTAACGCTAGTCCCTCGTAGTCGTCATCGGCCATGGCGAATCTTTAACTTCAGATAAACATGATGTAACACACGAGAGCGTAGCTTTTCCAGAATTAGGAGAACACTTCACAGTGACGTCAGGCCTCACTGGTTATAACTTTCTTTGCAATTTCTCTGTGTTTTTTCTTTTTTTTTTTTGACTTACCAGTTAACTCGTAGTGCACCAACGAGATTTCCAGAAAAACTCGTAGTTAGTAACGGGAGGGCTACGACTTTTTCAGAGTTTGCGTGACCTGCCACGCTGTGAAGCATACACACTACTCCTAGCCAGTAGTCAGGTCTAACGCGCTATCAGACGATCACTTATTTCCGAGGACACCTTCAGTTACAGTTATGACCTTTAGTACTTGCTCGGACGACAAAAAAAGAAGACATCTGTATCACCTTACCAAATGTAAGCCGAATTAACGCAATTCTGTTAAATAAAAACAGTTTTAGGATGGGAGAAGGATTAGTGAACTCCTTTCAGGAATTTCTCCATATCGTGTGGTATATATGGCCCTTTTTTGGCATTTAAAAATTATTTTTTTTCAAAATAAGAGCTCGAGAAAAACTATGCGATACCAATCGATGATTTCGAAGAACGACTTATAGAGAACCCAATTGGTAACGTGGACTTTATAAACATTCAACGCACTTCCCTTATATAGCAACCAAAAATCAAATACATATTTTTAAGTTAGCGCAAAAGAGATATCAGTCGGCAGTTGAGATGAACCAATATAAAATTAATAATCTATTTGTTTAAGTTTGTCTTACTGTACTGCAGTCAATAAAACTTGCAGCGTCCTTATAAATAATTGAACGCGGTGAAACTCCGTCACGGTTAATGCCACCTCGCTAAAGGCAATATAACAACCATCAAAAGTTAATAGGGAATCACTATAAGCATGATAGATGTCTCTAATTCGTGAAAGCTACAGTTGCATATGTGGCTGAGAGCTTGAGGACGAAATTTCTACAAATAAAATCATGCTGGTCGAAGTTTGATGTCAGTGCGCTTTAGCAAATAATCTAGTCCTCGAAAGGAGAGCCAGGTAATTCCTTGTGCGCTACTTCCACCTTGGTACAAGCCATTTGGATTTGCGTTATGGCAGGCATTATACCACCAGCCACCTCTATAAGCCACTGCACAGTCTCCATCTTGCTGAACGTCGTCGTCTCTGTCCCTGGTTGTCAATCTCATATTTCTATGGCGAAAAAAGAATTTTGTAAGAAACTGACGAGAAGCTGGACAGCAATGCCGCTGGTACAATTGCATGCTCAGAAATATCCAAGAAGCATTACATTGTAAGAAAAGTGTACAAGGAATGATTCCTTGAACAGGAAACAAAAAGATAGTCGAACGGTAAGCAACACTCAAGGGTATCGTGATGCTAATAATGCAGCATAGACCAATGCATTATTAACATAAAAGGAGCAATGATGGTCAGCAATATAGTTGAAGTTAGATTATCTCTTCAGCAATGATGCATATATGAATGAATAGTGAAATACGATGATTCCGCATTGATGCCTCCTCTGTACATGTAGAAAAAGCTGATCAAGATAAATACTGGGATCGTCACCTTTAGACAGTCATAACTATTTTATTAATTTCTTGGGAAGGAGATTTCCTATTCATTCTGCATGGCACATAAAACTGAAATGCCTGTAACAAACCTGATAGGATTTCCGACAGATGATAGCAATGCGTTGCCTGCGGTGCCTCAATACCCGACGATCATCACCCGATAATCATCGCTTTCGTCGGCGATAGAGAAGGTCGTGTACTTGGCAAAACTTCGATCACTTTCGCAATCCTCCATATCAATTCGGAAAAATCATGTTTACAGTTGCAGTAAAACGGTGAAGATAATCGTTACCGAGCCAAAACTCGCCCTGCAGATTTCCAAAGCCCTTTTTGTATGATTCCCAGTCGACATAAACGTCTACAAGACGATATCGAACTGGACTAGAGAAATAACTAACACAATCTTCAAAATTTTTTAGTTGGCCAAACTAGTAAGATACATTTGAGTTAAGGTGTACTTTCGACCTCCTCCGCAGCCAAAGGCAACTCTAAATCACCATGAGACCCTTCATCTAACAACTCAACGTCATCAGCGCAATTATTCTCAAGTAATGCTCCACTGCACGTACATTTTACATTCCTCCTGGCGTGTTTCATGCTGACAAACCCCATAATTTGATGAAAGGTCCATTGCAGCCGTTTTGCTTAATTTGGTGTGATTGCTTTTCCCATGGAATAACTAATGAAATGTTCCAGAAACTCCCATGGTATGCAAGTCAGCACGTCTAAGCATTCTAGAAATTTCTCGATAGTTATCGTTACAGGTATAGCCTAAAACACATGTTATTAACAAAGCCATCGATGTACGCCAAACTGTGAGTAGTTTCCCTGTCAGACGCCTGTCACGTAAATATTTCCCATTATAGGATCTTGAATTCACGATTTAGTTTTAGCAATGATAATAATAATAATAATAATAATAATAATAATAACTTTATTTATATAGCGTCTATCTCACTAATTGCTCTAGGCGCTTAACAATATCATAAAATGTATTAAAAAAAACACTAAAAAATCTAACAACTACATATGTAAGCATGGAAATCAAATCGAAATATATTTACAAATCAAAAAAGGCTTGGCGAATTAAATATGTCTTTAGGTGTTTCCTGAAAGAATTCAAGAAATCGGCATTTCTTAAAGATGCGGTTATGCTGTTCCATAATTTAGGTCCTGCTATAGAAAATATTCGATCACCAAAAGACCTAAGCTTAGATCTCGGGACTTGAAATAACTTATTCGAACAAGAACGCAAAGAGTAGGAGCTGATACAAAAGCTGAGCAAATTGGATTGGTGAAAGTCCATTGATAGCCTTATATACTAACAATAAGATTTTATAAGTAATACGGTATTCAACGGGCAACCAATGTAATTCTATTAAAATGGGAGTTATATGTTCATACTTCTTTGTGACTGTTACAATGCGCGCTGCTCTATTCTGAACTAGCTGTGGGCGGTTTAAGTGAGCTTTAGGTAATCCATGTAGAATCGCATTACAATAGTCCAAGTTAGTGGTCACAAAAGCATGAATAATTGCTTCAGCAGATTCACGATCCAAATATGTTCTGATCTTACTAATATTAGTTTGATGGAAATGACATGTTTTGCATATCTTTTTAACGTGGTCTTCCATATCAGCACTGGGATCGAGTATCACTCCAAGATTGCGAACAGAAGAGGACGGTTGAATAGTTTCACTCCCAACACGAACGAATTGCAGTGAGGGACTGGGCCGATAACGTGAACTGAGTAGAAGCAGCTCGGTTTTTTCCTCGTTTAGCTTAAGACCATTAGGAATCATCCAATTGTTGATTTCCTGTACACATATTTCAATTCTAGATTTTACTGAGGAGAGAAGGTCATCACTTCCTAATTTAAATGACACATAAAGCTGAGTGTCATCAGCATAGAGGTGGTACATAAGATTGTGTCTCTTTATGATATCAGCCACTGGTGAAGTGTACAGAACATATACCCGAGGCCCAAGGACAGACCCCTGCGGTACACCACAATTAAGTTCACGTAACGAAGATCTTGAGCATTCAATTTGAACAAATTGTGTACGTGATGATAGGTAGGATGCAAATCATTTCAGTAAAGACCCTGTTATACTATAACATTGAGAAAGCCTATCCAGTAATAATTCATGAGACATAGTGTCAAATGCAGCAGATAAATCTAACATTAGTAAAACGGCTTCGTTTCCGTCAATTGCATGCAGAATATCATCTTGCACCTTCACCATGACAGTTTCAGTAGAATGATGAACTTTATAGGCTGACTGAAAGTTTCCAAGTAGGTTATTGTTCATCAGATAGTTGGTTAACTGGAGAGCAACACTTTTCTCAATAATCTTTGATAGCGCTTTCAAATTGGAGATAGATCTAAAGTTCTTGAATTGTGAGAAGTCTGCATCAGGTTTCTCGAGCAGGGGTGACAATACTGCAGATTTCAAACACGTAGGCATGCAGCCATCACGAAGAGAGAGGTTGATGATTTTAGTAATAGTAGGCAGCAATAGATCTATACATTGTTTGATAATAGAGGATGGTAATGGATCCAAGACACAAGACTTCGAGAACAGTGTTGCAGTTAGTTCCCTGATGTCATCAAGCTTCATCTCGGTAAAAGTTGATAATTTAGTCGAAGACATTGTGAGTACCTCATCAGTGACACAATCTGCAGAGTAAATAAGAGCTTTCTTTTTAACAAGGAGATCATTATGTAGTGTATCAATCTTAGTGGTGAAAAAGGTAGCAAATTCATCAGCAAGCATACGGTCGTTTTTGGAGGGTGGATAGTAGTTAACAGTTGGCTTTTGAAGTAGCTTTTGAACAGTTTTGAACAAAACTTTTTGATTACCGGAGTTTTCTTTAATAATAGACGAATAGTACTCCGACTTGAGAAACTTAATCAGATTGATCACACCGTTACATTGGTGTACATAACGTACGCAGTCAGCAGGGAGTCTTGATGCTCGCCATTTACGTTCAAGTTGTCTTCGTTTCCGCTTCTCAGCAGTGACTTCAACTGTGTACCAGGGCGCAGATGGACGGACAGTGACAACTCGTTCTTTCACAGGAGCATGCTTGTCCAGTAGTGATCGTAAGACTTCATCATAATTATTTACAACTACATGGAGATCATCTTGATGTTCAAGAAGAACAGAACTTTCAATATCACTTCGGAAAGAATTCATATCAATACGGCGTAGATTTCGAGAAGAGACAACCTTCTTTACAAATCTGGGCTTTTCTAAGTGTAGAGTTGAATGAACAGCCAAGTGATCAGGGATGACAGGATCAGTTGTTTTAACGTCGTTAACAAAATGATCCATTGCATTAGATATTACTAAATCAAGAGTGTGTCCGTTAGCATGTGTTTTCTCTCCGACATGCTGTACGAGATCAAAGGAGTCTAGCAAGTAGCAATTGTCTAGCGGTAGCATCATTGGAATTGTCGACATGGATATTAAAGTCACCAACAATTAACAATCGCTTATGTCGTAGATCGGCAGTAATATGTTCCAAAAGCTTAGAAAATTCCTCTAACAACAACGATGTTGACAAGCCAGGAGGTCGATAGACAAGCAGAATTTTTACATAGCGCACCATGCGTGGGTGAAAATCCATTAATTCAAAAGAGTGATATTCATCTGTGAGAGAGGTGTTTAAACGAATGCTGTTCTTAAATATTATTCCAACTCCACCACCAGCAGAATAAGATCTCGGTATATGTATCACTCTATATCCTGTAGGACACAAGGTGCCAATTTCCACAGAGTCATTAGTACCAGGACGAAGCCATGTCTCAGTCATCGCGAGTATATCGATATCATTGTCAACAACAAAGTCTTTCACAGCCATGGCTTTGTTTCTAATTGATCTAGTGTTAAGTAAACAAAAATGTAGATTCTTTGAAGTACAAAACAGAGGCGGCGATAAACATGGTTTTTGTGGTACAGTGATCAAGTTAGCAGAATTAGCATATTTAAAACGATATGGATGGTTAAACTGCATGTGATGTGAGGTGTTAACCGTTGACCGCCAAGATTTCCTAACGACCGAATAGATTGAAAACTAGACCCAGAGCGTCGATAACCTCCCCGATTACCACGTTTTCTCAGGATGCAAAGGCTCTGAAGACGATTAAACACAGTGGGTGCAATATACGAGCTTACTAGCTTCCTAAGTGATCGTAGTTCCATCCGGCCGTAAACGATGCAAGACAACGAGGTTGATGAACGAGTCGAAGAAAAACTTAATTTTTGCGATAATTCGGTATCTCCTGGGTTGCTTTCAACGTCGACACAGATAGTTAGATCCTGTGGAAAGTCCAAATCAGGCGTTTGGAGATGTAGAATTCCATGTTTCATCCAAATTGAACTTTCGCGGCGTATTCTTGTCGAAGTAGTAAACTCGGTCAATTTAAATTTAACAACCTTAAAACAGAGCTCATCGTATTTGTAGAATAATTCAGAGCCGTCCAGGTCGAAATCATAGCCAGTTATAAGGTATTGACCTTGGAGATCCTTCCAGTAGAATAAAGACGAAACTTATTGGCAAGGAAAGCCAAAATCAAATAATGTAGCATAGGAACTCTTTACGGATCTTCTCAGTTGTAAGAAAAGCTTCTTGCCTATGTACTGCCTGGTTATAGATGCTAACGTCTTCAATTTTAATTTCTTCGTTTATTTCTTTTTTACCTTTCAGTTCAGGCTCCTATTTGAATTCCACTTCCTATGGAACAGTTCAGCAGACAATTCTGAATTGAAACATGCAGTAACAATTTTCACACATAAAGCTGGGGATAGTTTTTTGATAAAATATTACTGCCAATTTAAAGAACTTTTTTTGTTTGGATGCTAATAAACGTTTAGGAATTTGACATCTTAAGAAATACAATGTTAAACCCGTTAGTTAGTCATGAAAAACATGTTTTTAACCAAAAGAATAACTACGTCCTGTTACGCGAAGGGCACCTGTACTGAGGTCGGCCCGTGTGAAGTGGTCGCCTACGGAAGAATGGAATCATAAGATAGAAACAAACCAATAGCGCTAAAATAAGTCATGGTGGGCTGCAAGCGGTGATCGCCTGCAACAATGAAATGAAAAATATAGTGGATGGAAAAGTGGTGAGATAATTAACTAAGTGTTAGGTTAACTGCGTTTCGCTATCGTTACTAGCAATATATACTTAAAAATAAACTGACCCCGAGTTTTCCAATATCATGAGCTTCTCTTGGTGTTTTTACATAAGGTTTTTTATCTGGCACAATTTGATTGAAGTGTTCCATGAACGAGTTTTCTCTGAGGTGCTATCTTCACTTACCCTGCAGATTATTGCTCCATCCATCACAGCCGTGTGGTTATTGACCATCGCACCAATAGCGACATTCAAATTTACTCTCAACCCAGACATAACAAAGAATTTAATGAAAATCATTCCAGACAGAACGTAACGCTTGGGAAGAGCATTAACAGCCATTTTACGTTAGAAAAACATTAAGTAATCTTCGATAAACAGGGACGAAAATATTAAAAAAAAGCAGAAGGGATCCTCCTCTTTCGAATTGGTAACAGATTTAAGATTTACACGTCTTTATTGATCTGTTGGCCATAATTTAGCTTAGCACTATCTTAGCACCAAAGGGAGTTCACGGTTTCAGCAAATGTCTCGTGGTCCAAACATCTTTCTCCATGGTTATTTTCTATAAGTTCAGTTTGAAATGTAGCAGACACTAAAAATTATATTTTGAGGTAATTATTTATTGAAAGACGAAGTAAAGAAAAGAAAGATGACAGGTCTTCAATCGAGTTATGTGTGACGTACCTAAGAAAAGATGAAATACAAGCTAATTGCAGCAGGTCTCTTTTCATCGAGTTGACAGGAGATATTTTGCAAGGCTCCGCTGATGTGCGTCTGCAAGCCAGCCTAAGTGACAAAGTAACTTAACCATCAGACAATCTTTGAGACATTAAAACGTTTAATTAAAATTAAGCCCATCATCAATATCTATGAAAGTCTTAACTGACGAAATTAGTAACTTTTTCACAATACGAATGAAAAGTGCCTTTCTCTCACTGAAGGAGCGACATATATTCAGAGAGAGAAAAAGTGCTTTATATACGTAGTCATATAACTATCAATAAAACTAAAATTATATATTTTGAAGTAATTATTTATTGAAAGACGCAGTAAAGAAAAGAAAGATGACAGATCTTCAATTGAGTTATGTGTGAGGTACCAGAGGAAAGATGAAACGGGAGCTTGCAGCAGGTTTCTTTTCATCGAGTTGACGGGAGATATTTTGCAAGACTCTGCTGATGTTTATTTTAAGTGCATCTGCAAGCCAGCGTCAGTAACGAAATAAATTCTCCATTAGTCAATCTTTGAGACATTGCAACGTTTAATTAAAATTAAGCCCATCATCAGTATCTATGAAAGTCTCAACTGACGAAATAAGTAACGTTTTCACAATACGGATGAAAAGTGTCTTTCTCTCACTGAGGGAGCGACAGATATTCAAAGACAGAAAAAGTGCATTATACACGTAGCTATATAACTATCAATAAAACTATTGCAAAAAAAGAACTTAAAAAAGTTTATCACCACTAACAGCGTTGAAAGACTACTGTTAAACGCGCCATCTGCCAACAAAATGCCGCATTAACCGAACTTGTATATTACAATCATCACAAATTAAAAATAATTATATCTCTAAGCTTAACAGATATCTTCAGTCTTAATTAGAAGCTACAGTTTGCTGTCGGCTAAAAAACGCAACTACCACAAATGAAATCATGCTGGTCGAATTTTGATCTCGGTGTGCTTTAAAGAATAGGCTTGTCCTCGAAATGACTGCCATGTAATACCTTGTGCGTAACCTCCACCTTTGTACAAACCATTTGGATTCGCGTTGTGGCAGGTATTATACCACCAGCCACCTTTAAAGTTTAACGCACAGTTTCCGCTGTTAACGTCGTTGTCTTTGTCTTTGGTTGTAAACCTCATGCTTCTAGGATATCAAATACATTTCGTAAGAAACAGGGAAAAGGCGAGGAAGCAATGCTTCTAGCAACACATCATAGTCCATAAAGTGCAACCGGCATCACATGGTGGGAAATATCCAAGGAGCACTAATTGTCAGCAGTGTTCATAAAAAGATTTCCCTATCAGGAAGGTTCGAGAAAATGGAACGGTGAGCAACGTACACTTGTTTGTTTTAGTTAATAGAGCAGCAAACAGGAATTTAATGTCATCTTGTTGAAAGGAGCAATCCTAGTTAGCAATAAACTGGAAGTTGAAATATCTGATCGGCGATGATGCACTTCAGTTTAGATTTCTCATATGTAGAAAAAAGCTGATCAGCTTAAGTGTAGAAGATCCTTGATCGACTTCCGGCAATCCTCAACGAATTTCCAAATTCTCAGGCAGGAGCTTTACCCTTATATTACAAGTCATTTTCAGAGCAAAGTACAAAAAACTGCGATAAGACATACCTAATAGGCTTCGTGTACGAAAGCAGTGAGTCACCTGCGGTGCCTCGGTATCCATCGATTGTCACCCGATAATTATCGCTTTCGTCGGCCACAGCGAAAGTCGTGTACTCGGCAAATCGTCGGTCGTTTTTGTAATCCTCCATATCAATTCGAAACACCATGCTAGCAGATGCAGTCAGTCGGTGAAGATAATCGTTTCCGAGCCAAAACTCGCCTTTCAGATTTCCAAATCCTTTTTTGTATGATTCCCAGTCGACATAAAAGTCAACAGAGCCATCCATGCGCCTTTGAAAGGTGGTCCAGCCTCCGCCATCAGTTGTCATGTCACACAGCACTTGAAAAGGTTCTTCTTCATCAGGGTAAACCCAATACACACCGTCAGTTGTGGAACCATTTTGATAATATTCAAGACAGTTCTTAGGGCAATCTAGAAATTGAAAAAAAAGCGACAGTAAAACGCTTTGACAATAACAAAAACTATATATTCTATCTATCTCTCTCTGTCTAAATGTTTTTGTTGTGGACGTTACATCCTTGATCTTTCGTAACCTTGCCGCATTTGGTCTGATAATCTATTATCTAATTAATTCCTTATTACTTATCTAATTACTTATTAATCTAATAAGTGCTAATCTACCCGTTTCATCTGTTCGTGGCATTTTCCGAGGGATAAATATTTCCCTCTCGTAGAGCTGTTTTTTTGTCTTTTCTTGAGCGGATTTCCACTTACCTCTAATACACTTACAAAAATGAGTGTTTGATTTGTAGTCAACAACACAAATTTCATTCTCCTTGCAAGGATCATATTCCTCACAGGTGCTCTAAAAATTTAAGAAAGAAAATCAGTATACAAAAAGATTTCAATAGGATGATGGCAGACGTTTTCGTTTAAGGAGGCTCCATAGCGTTTTTTGACCGATCAAGATCTGGGTGCAAATGTAGCGCGAGTGTCATTAAACATGACGGCTCGATACGATCGCACAATCGTTATCTGCAAAAGGTGTGTTAAAAACAGTTACACAGTATTTATGTAGTGGAGTCTAGGTTTTCCAGAAACTGCACCAGTAATATTTATACGTACTGTTTTGCGATAATAGAGATCTTTCGAGCAAGATTTATCGCGTTTCCTTTGGTGGAATTTCCTAACATTTGCTGGACCGTTAACAAATTTGTGCCCTACCTGATGCCTGTTGATTAAAATGAATTATTTAGACCAAGCTTGAGATAGAGGAAGAAAGCACAAATTGCAAATAGCGAGGAAACTGCCTTTGTAACCTTTAATTTATTTCGGCTTTTAAATGATCGGCAGTACAAATTTCAAAAATTAGGAAACTTTTTAAATATTTGCACCGAAGCAAATTGAAGAAAATCAAAGGCAAAGCCAAATTATCACTCCCTTCGTGGAGTCTTAGCTCAATAAAGAAAATCATTCTGATAATATCTACTAGAGCAAACAATAGTCCGAGCCTTTCTCATCGCCCTTTGGATGGCTTTTAGCGACCTAAAAAAGCGAAAACATAAAAGGTTTTCTAGAAAAACAATACGCTAGCGCACAAACCAAGATTAAGCAAAAACCCTATAGCTAAAATCTTACTGCCTCTTACTGCCTCTCGTCGGTTATGTATTAAATTTTAAAAGAAAGAAACTCATAACATAAACAGTTTTTGTTTGGAATAGTCCTAAAACGAAATCATCCCATTTTATTCCGCTTTTAGTATGATGGCTTCTTCTGTGTTATTTCTTACTACATTTGATTAACCTTAAGTCTTTAAAGGAAATTTGTATTAGATTATGTTTCATTTTAAGGTACATTCGTTTCACGAAAGGGTGCCCTAGTGAGGAGTTCTCGTTCCTTCTGTAGGCGAGAACCTCTGCGGTCTTCATAACAGGTGCGTCTCGGCACCGATAACTCTAGAAAGATATTGTATTCTTTGGAATCAGTTGACTCAATTGAGACGTGAAAAAACTTGCTTAATATAACCGAGTTGTTTACAATGGCTGATAAGACCTCGTAGATACAAAAATATTTCAAAAGTCTAGAGTTTCAAGTGTTTTATCGCGTTGTAATCATTTCAACTTCTCAAGCTTTTCTGAGCCCAGCATGTGTCATCAAGACCAGTAATTACTTACTCACAATGAAAGGTAATCCGTACCAAAATCTCTGCATCATCTAAGAGTTCCTATTCATTTATTCGCGAAATAGAACGGTCCTAGTTTATAAAGAATGCATACTTATTAAATTCTTGAAACAACCAGCCTGACTGTTATGAGAATCGCAGCATCCTGTTTGAAATGAATTCAGACGAAAAGAAAACACACTTTAACGAACCGAGGACATTCGAGTTCATCAGTTTTGTTACCTGTATTCCTCTATATGATGCTCCATCCTCTTTTGTAAAATTCACCTGACTCGCAAATCGGTCCGAGCCACTTAGCTGACATCTACTTGTCTCCTTGTCATGGATGGGAAGGAAGTTGTATGACAAACATCGATCTTCAGAGACACATGCAAACTGACAAGATATTTCAGATGCCACTTCAAAGTCTCTGAGGACACTCCCGTTCAGTTTTTGATCGTTTATCGCCTTTGCGAAATTAGCAGACTTAAAATCTGGCTCCGAAAAACGATTTGAAGCTTCTGCGAGGCCCATAAGTGCAAACATCAATAGGGCCCATAGGTACATGTTTCCTTTTTCCAATGCTGACCTCGACTAAGATCGCACTCGCTGAATCAGCAATGTGGTGAATCTAAACTAATCAAATTAAACTAATTAAAACTACTCCGATTCATAATTAATGACCTCATTCGAGGTGAAACAAAGAGGTGCCATTGCTACGATTTTTACAACATTTAACCATTAACTTCTCAATAAATATGCATGTTTTATGTCCTTCAAAATAATAATCGTCATTTGCAGCAACACGATTGTTAAATTGGTTATTCTCTTGGCGTCTAATCATACAACTGCATTAGTATTACGTTAGGCAATGACCTTGCAGGTAAGCTGCGATTTTAGCAATAGCAGAGAAGCCTAAAATGATTAGGTTACGACGGGAATCGAGCTGTTGTCTCTCGAATACTTGAGAGCCTTAACTGAGACTACGAGTTTTGGCCGGGAGTAGAGTGGCACTAGTCCCTCGTGGTCGTCATCGGCCATGGCGAATCCTTAACTTGAGATAAACATGATGTAACACACGAGAGCGTAGCTTTTTCAGAATTAGGAGAACACTTCACAGAGACGTCAGGCCTTACTGGATATACCTTCTTTGCAATATAATTTCATTTGTTGAAAAATATTGTTCGCTGAAAAATCTTGGTTTATTCGATAAAAAATATTTTTATTCGATAAGAAATACTTTCATTCGATAAAAAATATCGTCATTCGATAAAAAAAATTTTATTCCATAAAAAAATATCTTCCTTCGACTAAAAAAAATATTATTATTCGGTAAAATCACATGGTTAGCTTAGCCCTGGTCGCTGAGCTAGAAAGCCTTCGTTTTGCTGCTACTTTAGGAAGCACGAGCCAACGACTGAACTTGCAAGTTGGTCAGGTAGTGAACCGTGCGAGGGACATACTGCGGTACAACGGCTCCACATTCAGCCGCAATGCTTCCACATCATTCCGAGCTGAGTCAAAATTACATGGTTCATTTCCCAAAATACCTCGACTGGCAGGGGCCTCACGTCATAGACATGAGGGGACGCAAATCGTCTGTACTGTAAGTATCCCGGAGAGTCCCCTACATTTTCTTAGACTTTTAGTCTAAGAAAATGTATGGGGACTGTAAGGTGTCATAATCCTGTTGCTGCTGACATCGATGTGACAGATAATTGCTTTTGCACTGTTTTCTTTGCCGGCTTATACTTGTCATCAAGTTTCAATAAGACGGCTATCATTTTTCACAAGAATAATGAAGTTTTCGTAAATTGTGAGATCGGATGGGATTAAAATGGGATTAAATCACCTACAGAGCTTGATATGTACTTACAGTGCAGACGATTTGCGTCCCCTCATGATGTTCTGCCAAAAGAGGTTTGTAAAACATGCAGTTGTACACATGGAAAAAACTCTGTCTTCAAATGAAAACCCTTTGACCCATGATGAGATAATCTGTTTGGCTCAAGTCGATTTCCTCTCAGATGACGATGAACAACAGAAGCAGCAAAATATATTGGTCATCACTAAGCTTACCATGTGATTTTATCGCATAAAAACTTTTTTATCGAATGAAGATCTATTTTTATCGAATACAAATATTTTTTTATGGAATGAAAGTTCAATAAATCAAGGTTCTCTAACAAACAATTATTTTAACGAATGAAATTACATTTTGTTAAATAAAAATATGTTTTATCAAATAGAAATATATCTTATCGAACGAAAATATATTTCGTCTAGATAAAATATTTTTATCCAATAAAATTACATTTTTACTACATTTTGCTCCATTTCGGCAACCATGGTAGACGAAAGAAATATGAAGACATATAATTCTCTTTTCATCCTGTTGAGGTATTTTAGTGAAAATGGTGTTATTAATAATATTAATATCATTATTATATTAATGTTATTTCTTGTATTCAGTAACTTCTTCCCCACCTTGCAATTATTTTTCGTTCGGTTGTGTAATTACCTAGGTTCTTTATTCTTCCTTGTATCACTGCTTCCGTGAGAGTGCCAGATAGAACGTGTCACGCGAAATAATTCACTGTATGAAAAAACCTGGACATATTGCGAAACAACATAATAACCAGCTAAAAGTTGGCTCGTTAACTCAGTTGGTAGAGCACTGCACCGGTATCGCAGAGGTCATGGGTTTAAAACCCGTACAGGCCTGAAGTTTTTATTGGTACGATTTTTCCACTATTGCTTGAGTAGGAGTACTCAGTATCGCGAAGATCGCTTTCATATTCATCACATCTTATTACTAAAAACTACAATAACGTGAAATAATTCATACTTTGAGTCTTTAAAATCACACGTAACCAACAGACGTTATGCATCGATCAATTCGAAGCTTCAACATCGCCTTCCCAGTGCCAGAGCTATGTTCAAATGCCCTACCCAAGAGCCAGATTTGCTGGTCAACTTTTTTTGGTAAAGGGCAAAATCAGCGACTGCATCCCAATCCTCCTGGGTTTTTTTCCTCCTCCGCTACTATTGCACCAGCAGCTGAACACCTGAGAAAGGCTATCTTTTTCTATTAAGTTTGATCCTCCAGTTTCTTCGTCACTAAAAACCAGCTTATCAAGAATCTGAGAACTGTTATATCTCAGTACTTCATTGTTTATTACTCGTTTAACGTGATTTGAAAAAACTTGTTTAAACCGACCTTAGAATCAGGGCTCTACTTAACAAATAGATTCCAAGTTGCCGTGCGTCTGTTCAGTAATAGATCACAGATGACGTCAAAATGCGGTAAGAACAAAAAAGTGGCTTCCTCTGTGTTCTATTACTGAACAGACGCACGGCAACTTGGAATCTATTTGTTTATATAATAAAGAATTTAAAAAAGTTTTAATGATGACGTCATCTATACGTCTGTCCTCCAATAGATCATAAGTGAGAACCAATCAGAATACGTGCATAACTGAGCTTATTACATAAGAGACGATATCTTTCCTCACAAAGAGAGTCAGATATCTGAACAAGCTAGTTTGCCAAACTAGTAGGATACATTTGAATTAAGCTGTACTTTCGACCTCCTCCGCAGCCAAAGACAACTCTAAATCACCATGAGACCCTTCATCTAACGACTCATAAATCTCCTCATGTGTCAAGAATTTCACCCTCGCATCATCAGCGCAATTATTCTCAGGTAATGCCCCACTGCACATACATTTTCCATTCATCCTGGCGTGTGTATCATCCTGACAAATCACATAGTTTGATGAAAGGTCCATTGCAGCTGTTTCGCTTAATTTGGTTTGGTTGCTTTAATGTGTAATTTTCATTATCGTGACATGATTGTAAGATATACTTGCTGTGATCCTTGAGGCTCTTTGTATGTGAAGCTGCACAACAGTCCTCGGGAATCTGTAGCTCAAGCAGTAGTTAATCGTTCAAGTCATTATCGTAGTTACAATCACTAACTTGATGCTGCATGACATAACCACTGATGTCAAATTGCGTTACATCTTGTTTATTTTTTGAGACACAATCTTTGTTTATGTTGTTCTCATTCGTGTTTAGAATTTCTTCCATTTCATCATTCCCGGAATCATTTGGCCTTTGCTCGCATTTAGATTACAAAGCTCTTGATCATCAAAATCATCAGTTGAAAATTCATCAAACTAAAAGGTGAAAAAAATCGATTTCAAAACTTTTGTAAAATAACTTAACAAAAGAGCATGTCTGTCACTCGACAAACTCTCAATTTATGATTAATTAGCGTAAGCTATATTTCATGAATCGTGTCCAAATTCTTCACATTCGAAGAATTAGCTACAAATCTTTACTTGATTACCTCACAACTTGACAATGGATTGATTTCCTGTGGAATAGGCTTTTCTGAAAGTGACCAACTGATACATGGTTTATAATTTGCTTTTTTCTGATATACCCTACGACTAGCTTATAATATGGTAAAAGATGCTTACGGCGTCAATACTCCCACGATCTATTGATTGATGTGAAATTCAAGTTTCGCTCTTGCCACCGCCAGGAATAGGGCCCAGACTTCTTCCCAATTTTTGTTTGTTTGTTGTTGTTGTTGTTTTTTGTAAGAATTCATCTTTATCTTCTATAGCTTTACCAAGTTTGAAAAATTGTTTCGCAAAAATCCACATCTTTACCGATTTTAAGAGAGAGCGTATTTAGACTGTCTTATTAAAGCATCCATAAAATTGCACAAAGCTTGAACAGTGCTAGTACAGATTTGAAGAAACATTACACATATATAAAGATTTATCTGCCCTGGTTCAGTTCCAGAACAGTGTTGCTGAAGGTTAGCTCTCCAGTTTCTGGCAAAAAAAAGTGCCATACTTTGAACTACGATTGGAATCTGAGCGAGAAGTCTCCGCGATTCGTTTTGCTGCTTCCTTTATTTTTAGCCTTCACCCAAAGAAATCCTACCAAGTGATGTTTTTTCGGGCAGCTAATACTCACATACCAGGGGAGCGATAGCCAATCCTTCTACAGTCGGGATTGTGGCATTTCTGGTAATAAACACCAAGTCTCAAATCTGCCACAATCCTAGCCTGAAAAAAAAAATTAACTGCGTGTTCTTTCACTCTATAATCATTGATTTATTTTAGAACAATTCTAATTTTTTTAATCAATTTTTTTCTTTCAAGAAAATTTTAATATTCCTCATCCTTCACCACGCCATGGTTATAAGTTGACTTAATCCTGTGAACAGTAAAAAGCACAATGCAGTAGAATCGTCGCGATCTATCCACTCGGAATGCTAACCATCCCCCTGAGATTTGGAACACCATAATAATTATAATAAGAATAATTTATTCATTTCTAGTGCGCATCTTTACATGACTATGATTAGATACGCATTTCAAAAGTATATATTATATAAAAGAGAATCGAAGAAACTAAAGTATACATTATGTAAAAAAAAGAAAATGCAAGATTTTTAACTGATGGCACAGCTAGGAGTAGAGTGTTTGAACCCCTGAGATTATAGCATGATGTCTTCATACTAGTTAAGGATCGTGGATACTGAGGCGCAAGGCCATGTAACGCCTTAAACATGAGGTGAAGTACCTTGCAGTTGATGCGTACCTTGATAGGCAACCAGTGCAAATCGCGCATTATTGGTGTAATGTGACAAAACCTAGGCGCATTACATACCAGCTTAGCGGAAGCATTCAGAACTCTGAATTTGCGCAAGCTGGCTGTTTGGCAGTTCATACAATAGGCTATTGCAGTAGTCGATGCGGGACGTTATGAAAGCATAGACTAACGTCTCCGTAACTTCTTGAGATGAATACTTGCGTATGCGTCGAATATTATACAGGTGGTAAAATGCTACAAAACGAAGCTTACTGATATGGCTAGACATAGTGAGCTGTGAATCGAACCATGATTCAAGTTTCCTAACTACCGGAACAGGACTCACATTAGCAGAGCCCACCTTAATATTGTCATTATTAACTTTGGCTAGCTGTTGCTTTGTGCCTAATATAAGAAACTCTGCTTTGTCTTCATTTAGTATTAAATTGTTCGATATCATCCAGCTCCTGGCATCACTGATGCAGTCAGTCATAGACTTTATAGCAGCATCCGCTTCCGCAGATTAGTTTGGGCTGAAGGAAACGTACAGCTGCGTATCATCAACATAACAGTGGACTTGGGGAAGGTGATGCTTCACGATATCAAATAGCCTACGCGTATATATGGCGAAGAGCAGCGGGCCTAAACACGATCCTTGAGGGACGCCTTGAAACAGGGGGAACTTCTTGGAAAGTCCACCATTGACAGACACTCGCTGGAACCGGTCAGATAAATACGACCTGAACCAAGAAAGTGCATTGCCAGTTACTCCACAATCAGACTCGAGACACTGAATCAGTATATTACAGTGTATCGTGTCAAAAGCTGCACTTAAATCCAGTAAAACAAGCAGGGTGACATGTTGCTGATTCATTAACATCAGGATGTCATTCTGAGAGCTTAGATATGAAGGCGTGATTGCTCACTGGACGGAAATTCTTATAGGCAAGTAACAACCGATGTTGGGACCGGGTCAAGCTGACATGATTTTTTAGCCCCCTTTTCAGTGAACGTGCGCACTTGGTCTTGCGTCAGGGACTTGAAGCTGGTAAGCCGTCCATCAACGTATACATTATGCTCATCTGTGCGAGGAAGCGATTGAGACTGCGCGGACGGGTCAGCTTGAGACCAATTTATCTTCTCAATCCTCTGCGCAAAGAAGTTGCCAAAGTCATTGGCAAGCTGGTCAGGGTTGCCCGGAGGGAAAGAAACATCTTAAGCATTACACAACAAGGCCTAAGTAGTTTGGAATAGCTTCCTCTGGTCAGAGCTGTTTTGTTGGGGAGTGTAATATTCACAACGGGCTTGATTCATGATGAATGTTGCATGGTTTTTCTTCGCCTTAAAAAACACGAAGGTCATGCGCAGATTTAGACTTGCACCAGATCCTCTCAGCCTTTCGTCTAGTCCGTATGACAGCCTTCATCTGACTGTTAAACCTGGATCTGACTGTTAAACCTGGGAACTCACTTCCTGTTGACGACAGCCTTAGTTTTCGGAGGTGCGTGTTTGTCAAGAATGGCCTGGAGAGTGGAGTTGTAGCAGTTGACCATTTCATCCACATCTGTGAATTCCGTGGTTCACAGATCTGAATCCCTGAGATCCGCACGCAATGCATCCAGGTCAATAGCCTTCAGCTGTCTGTAATTGATCTCCTTCACAACAGCTAGCGGTTTTAGAGAGTTCAAGGGACAAAAAACTGCAGCATGGTCAGATATGAACTGGTTAATGACTGGCGCACTCTTGATGTTGTCATCATGTTCCCTGGTGATGATCAAATCCAGGGTGTGGCCGCCCTCATGTGTAGAACCCTTCACATGCTGCTTTAAACCCATAGATACAAGCAAGTCCAGAAACTTGCAAGCGTTGGGATCACTTGCATCATTTACATGGATGTTCAAGTCCTCTGTCACGGCTCAGGCACTAATATGATGGATTCCAGATAAGTAGCAAACTAGTCCATAAAAGTATTCAGAGTTACTGGATGCTGAGCAGAATACGGTGGGCGATAAATAAAAGACAGCCTAACCCAGAAGGAATTCGAACTTGGGCTCCATTCCGACAATTCAAACGAGGTTTTCTCTCACACGCATCAATTTTCTAAGCTCTAATGTTATCTCTGAAGAGCAGACATGTTCCGCCTCCTTTGCGTCCTGATCGATTATGGTGCATAAACTTATGCGTGCCAGGCGGGATAAATTCAAGTTTTGACACCATATCATGTAACTGTAATAAAATGCTCTTAGAATTACACGTAAGGAAAACAAATGAAGTTATCTTGTGTTACGGCATAATCTGACCGACAAAAAGAACATTACAATCCTAAAGACTCGACTCCTTTGCTACACAACCTGTTATTCTGAATAAGGAGCGAATCCTACGGTTAGTAAAGTATTAATTCCTGTAGAACAGTTCAGCAGACAATTCTGAATCGAAATATGGAGCAACAATTTTCACACAATTTTCGCTGAGGATAGTTTTTTGATAAAATATTACTGCCAATTTATAGAATTTTTTTTTGTTTGGTTGTTAATAAACGTTTAGGAATTTGATATCTTTAGAAATACAATGTTAAACCCGTTAGTTAGTCATGAAAAACATGTTTTTAACCAAAACAATAACTACATTGCATCGTAATCTTAAAAGTAAAATATCTTGCTATACAAGCGTCTCTTGTTAAGTGACTGTCAAAGAGCAAACACGAAGTATATCGACCAAAATTTGTGGCTTTTAAAACGTCCTGTTACGCGAAGGGCACCTGTACTGAGGTCGGCCCACGTGAAGTGGTCGCCTACGGAAGGATGGAATCATAGAATAGAGACAAACCAATAGCGCTAAAATTAGTCATGGTCGGCTGCAAGCGGTGGTCGCCTGCAACAATGAAATGAAAAATAGGGTGGATGGAAAAGTGGTGAGATAATTATCTAAATGTTAGGTTTAACTGGGTTTCATTATCGTAAGCAACGATAACGAAAAAAAACTTGACCCCGAGTTTTCCAATATTATGAGCTTCTCTTGGTGTTTTTACCATAAGGATTTTTATCTGGCACAATTTGATTTAAGTATAACATGAACGAGTTTTCTCGAAATTGCCATCTTCACTTACCCTGCAGATTATTTCTCTATCCACCACAGCCGTGTGATTATCGACCATTGCACCTATAGCGACATTCAAATTTACTCTCAACTCAGACATAACAAAGAATCCAGTGAAAATCATCTCGGACAAAACGTAACGCTTGGGGAGAGTATTAACAGCCATTTTACGTTAGAAAAACATTAAGCAATCTTTAATAAACAGGGAAGCAAATATTAAAAAAAAAAAAAAAAACAGCAGTAGGAATCCTCCTATCTCGATGTGGAGAACAGAGTTAAGATTTACGCGTCTTTATAGATCTGTTGGCCATAATTCAGCTCAGCACCATCTTCAAAAGGGAGTTCACGGTTTAAGTAAATGTCTCGTGGGCCAAACCATCTTTCTCCATAGTTATTTTCTCTAAGTTCACGTTGAAATGTACTAGACACTTCAAATTATATTTTGAGGTAATTATTTATTGAAAGCGCAGTAAAGAAAAGAAAGATGACAGGTTTTCAATTGAGTTATGTGTGAAAAGATGAAACGGGAGCTAATTGCAGCAGGTCTCTTTTCATCGAGTTGACGGGAGATATTTTGCAAGGCTCCGTTGATGTTTATTTTAAGTGTGTCTGCAAGGCAGCCTCTGTAAATCATAACTAAATAACTTCCTCATTAGACAGTCTTTGAGATATCAAAACGTTTAATCAAAATTAAGCCCATCGTCAATATCTATGAAAGTCTCAAGCGATGAAATGAGTACCGTTTTCACAATATGAATTAAAAGTCCCTTTCTCTCACTGAGGGAGCGATATATATTCAAAGACAAAAAACGTGCTTTTTATACGTTGTTACATTAATAAAACTATTGCACACAAAAAATTCAAGAAAGTTTATCACTACTAAGAGCGTTGAAAGACGACAGTTACACACACCATCTGCCGACAAAATCTCGCATCAACCGAACTTGTATATTACAATCATCACAAATTTAACTAAGAATTATAACAGTACGCAAAACAGATATCTTTAATTCTTAATTAGAAGCTACAGTTTTCTGTTAGCTTAAAGACTCAACTATCACAAATGAAACCATGCTGGTCGAATTTTGATTTCGGTGTGCTTTAAAGAATATAATTGTCCTCGAAATGACTGCCATGTAATACCTTGTGCATTACCTCCGCCTTTGAACAAACCATTTGGATTGGCATTATGGCAGTAGTTGTACCACCAGCCACCTTTAAAGCTTGACGCACAGTTTCCACCAGTATTAGCGTCGTTATCTTTGTCTTTGGTTGTAAACCTCATGTCTCTAGGATATCAAAAGCATTTCGTAAGAAACCGAGAAAGAGCCGGACAGCAATGCTTCTAACAGAATATCATAGTCAGTAAAGTGCAGATGGCATTGCATGATAGAAAATATGCAAGCAGCACTAATTGTCAACAGTGCACATGAAAAGATTCCCCTATCAGGAAAGTTTGAGAGAATGGAATGGTAAACAAGTACACATATTTTCTTGGTTAATAGTGTTAACAGGAATTTGATGTCATAATAATGTTGAGAGAAGCAATCCTGGTTAGCAATCAACTGGAAGTTAAAATATTTGATCGGCTTTGATGCATCCGGGATGCGATACTTCAGCTTAGATTTGCCATTTGTAGAAAAAACTGATCAGGTTAAGGGATCCTCGACTACAAACCATCATCAACGTATTTCCAAATTCTTGGGCACAAGCTTTTCAGAAATTACCCTTATATTACTAGTCATTCTCAGAACAAAGTCGAAAAACCTGCAATGCAACATGCCTGATAGGCCTATTGAGAGATAGCAATGCATCGCCTGCGGTGCCTCGGTATCCATCGATTGTCACCCGATAATTATCGCTTTCGTCGGTCACAGCGAAAGTCGTGTACTCGGCAAATCGTCGGTCGCCTTCGTAATCCTCCATATCAATTCGAAACACCATGCTGGCAGATGCAGTAAGACGGTGAAGATAATCGTTTCCGAGCCAAAACTCGCCCTCCAAATTTCCAAAGCCTCTTTTGTATGATTCCCAGTCGACATAAAAGTCCACGGAGCCATTCATGCGCCTTTGAAAGGTGGTCCATCCTCCGCCATCAGTTGTCATGTCACACAGCACTTGAAAGGGTTCTTCTTCATCAGGGTAAACCCAGTACACACCGTCAGTTTTTGAACCATTTTTATAATAGTCAAGACAGTTCTTGGCCGGGCAATCTAGAAATAACGAAAAAAAAGTAAAACGCTTTGACGATAACAAAAATTATTTATTCTAACTCTCTCACTCTCTCTCTCTCTCTCTCTCTCTCTATCTCTCTTTAGATGTTTTTGTCATGGACGTTACACCCTTGATCTTTCATACCCTTGCCTCATCTGGTGCTAATCTACCCGTTTTATCTGTCCCCGACATTTTCAGTATGTCTCTCTTCCAGAAATGTTTTTGTCTTTCCCTGAACAGATCTTCACTTACCTCTAATACACTTACAAACACAGGTGTTTGATTTGTAGTCAACAAAACAAATTTCATTCTCCTTGCAAGGATCATCTTCCTCGCAGGTGCTCTTAAAATTAAAGAAAGAAAAACAGTTTACAAAGAGATATCAAAAGGATGATGGCAGACTTTTTCGTTTCAGGAGGTTCTATAGGGTTTTGTGACCGAGATCTGTGTGCGAACATAGCGCGAACTTGAAAAGTGTCGACATGCATGACATGGCGGCTCGATACGATCGCATGATTGTTATCTGAAAAGGTGTGATAAAAACAGTTAATTTAGTGTTAACAACTGAGTTGAATCGTAAATTGGCCTGACGAAGGGCTACCGCTCGAATGGTCAGCCTTTCAACCTTTTACGGTGGCCAATTTACATTTTCACCTCAGTTGTTAACACTAAATTACCTGCTCTACTCTCCCACCGACGCAGCACCACAGTTTCTTTAGAAACTTACCCCCTTTATTCGTGTGTTAAAAACAGTTAAACAGTTTCTATTTAATGGAATCTTGGGTTTCCAGCAACTACACCCGGAATATTTATAGGCCTTCTACGCCTGAAAAAGAAGTCAACCCAAAAGAAAACACCGTGGGAAAAATTACCAACAGGCGACAGATCGCGACAGATTCGAAAGTTTACGCATGCTCAGATACAGATTTTGGCGAAGTTCTATTCTATTACGTGCTGTTTTGCGACAAAGAAAATAGGGATCTTTCGAGCAAGATTTATCGCGTTTCCTTTGGTGGAACAAAAACTTGTAAGTACCTAAGAAAATTTCGGCTTTTAAATGATCGGCTGGACAAATTTCATAAATTGTGAAAATTATGAGAGCTTTCACTGAAGAAAATTGAAGAAAATCAAAGGCAAAGCCAAAAATTACCATTGGCGAGCGTCTCCCTTCGTGGAGTCTTAACTCAATAAGAAAATCATTCATATATTTTATCATTTGTTTTTCTCGAGCTCTTGTTTAAACAAAATTAATTATTAAATGAAAAAAAGGGTCAAATATACCACACGATGTGGAGAAATTCCTGAAATGAGTTTACTAATCCTTTCCCCTATCCCATCATTGCCTTTATTTAACTGATGATTTCGTCGAGCAACGGCTTTAAGAGGATCCAAGTGGTTACAAAAACTCTATAGATATATATTACACTTCCTTACATAACTAACACGACATGAAGACAAACTCTATTAGTAAGCTTAAGAAAAAAAAATTCGGCATTTGAATGCTACAACTGCAAATTACAAGTGAATAAAATATCTTAAATAAATACAGAACTCAGATTATGCAATTCTATTCTTGTATTATTACAAATTATGGAAAGCTGTTAACATATTGCTGTCTTCCTTTATTTGACAATTTTTTCTGGCTGACGACGGCAGCATCCCTCTTTATTTCTAGATTTATTCCTATGTTGGAGTCTTCTGTGTTATTTCTAATTACATTTCATCAACCATAACTCTTTAAATGAAATTTGTATTAGATTATGATTCATCTTAAGGTACATTCATTTCACGAAAGGATGCCTTAGTGAGGAGTTCTCGTTCCTTCTCTGACGAGAACCTCTGCGGTCTTCATAACAGGTGCTCCTCGGCACCAATAACTCTAGAAAGATATTGTATTCTTTGGAATCAGTTGACTCAATTGAAACGTGAAACAGCTTCATTAATACGACCTAGTTGTTTATAAAGGCTGATAAAACCCCGTAGATACAAAAAACATTTTAAAAAGCTAGAGTTTCAAGTGTTTTATCGTGTTGTAATCATTTCAACTTCCCAACCTTTCCAAGCTCGGCATGTGTCCTCAAGACCCAGTAATTACTAACTCACAATGCAAGATAAACAGTACCAAAATTGCTGCACCATCCAAAGAGTTAGTCGTTTTTTTGCCTGTATTCCTCTATATAATGCTTTATACCCTTTTGTAAAATTCACCTGACACATAAATCGATCCGAGCCACTTAGCTGGCATCTGTTGGCCGCCTTCCCATGGATGGGAAGGAAGTTGTAAGACAAACATCGATATTCCAAGCTTTAAAAAATCTCTTTTAACCTTCCAAATAATATTTTTTTCATTGGCTTGGTGAAAACTCAACTGGCGATCTCTGTAAGAGCGGTCCAAGGCGTTTTTCATCGGAAAAAAGTTTTGCCTCAAACTTTACCCATTAAACTGTTATTGGTATTAAGTAAATAAAACCACATTGGTTTCTGAAAATACGTTTAAAATTGTTTTTGAGAGCTCTCAATAATCAAACCTGCAAAAGGCCCTTTTTTAATCTCCTGCGACATCTAAACTTCCAAAACTTGACAAGTTTACTCCTCCTAAC